TTAATATATATATATATATATACATATATATATATATATATATATATTAAATCAATTTTTTATTTAAGCTAAAGTCAAACTCTATATATAATTAACACTAGAATCAATATAATGCAAATCTTTTATTTTACATAACTTTATTAAAACCTATTTTTAAAGATTGTTTTACAGAGAAACCAAACTATGAACCGTATAAAACAAATCTAAAAAGCTTGAACAAGTCAAACGAAAAAATAACAAATCAATCAGACTACTATGTATCCAGAATGGTCACAATACTAGCTATTATTGTTCTACTGTGTGCAATCGCATGTAAAAGAATAGGATTTCAAGGAGATTTTTTGTCAATGTTGCAAATGAGTATATTATCACTAATGTAAGCAAATTGTAAAAATATTCAACAATTATATTAAAATAGGCAACAATATAATGTATGTTTGGTGAATATAAATACTTTAAGAGAATATATGTATTATGACAAAACAATTCTCATAATACACGTCATATGATAATAATCAATATTTTCACATATTTTTTTTATGATTTTGAACTAATTACAAAGTTTGATATAATACAAGATTGATATATAAGACTTATTATATATATATATATATATATATATTAAAAAAACAACCAACAATGATAAGGTGGATTCATATATCAAAGATAATATTGATTCTTATTAATTTAATATATAAATATGATCATCGATTCATTTAACTAACTTCAATAATTTTTTAAAATTTTTTTTGTCACCATGCAATGCATGGTGTCAAACACTAGTTAAGATATAAATGCCAACAACAATGTTATTATATTCATGATATTAAGACATTGACATATTTAAAGTGATCTAGTCGAGTTTTTATTTCCGAAACATATCTATGATGATTTCATTATCAACGTTACTAAAATCGGCTTTTTCAATATAAGTAATCAAACAATCGTTCTTCCATTGATTTCCAATTTTATTGCACAACCTGTTCTTCACAATGTTCATATTGAAAATGTCCTATCGACTGTAGCAGTCACAACATGTAATATCATTGCTAGTTTTATAAGCAAATACACAAGAGAGAACACCTTATCCCTTCTTATTTCAACCATTTACTGAGCAAGATCACTTGTCTAAAAAATGATTCAAGTTTCTTGCTGAAAACACAAAGTCAAACTCTAAAGAGCTCACTTATTTGTGAGAGGCTTGTTGAAGGTTTGTTTGTGAGGTAGTAATCAGTAATATTGGTCTCGTCCATTCATTTATTATCGTTTGTATTTGTTAATATATATAAATAATTTTTATATATCATAACATTAATATGCAAAATCATTAATTAATTTAAATTTTCAGGATTTTTTTATCCCTTCTAAGTTACACGATTTTTCATTTTGTTACGTTATTTTTGAGAAACAAAATGACAAGTAATGGTGGTTGATTTTTGCTCATTTGTGTTCGTTCGTTTATGTTCTTTAGCATCTTAACAATCAAACATAAACAAACACATTTTTTTAACTAACAGATATGAACACAAAAAATTTCAGTCGTTTACCGTTCGTGTTTGTTTGTTTGTTTGGTTAAGTTAAATGAATGAACATGAACAAGACTCCGTTTGTGTTCGTTTACATGCCTAATACCGTGTGAATTGCCACATGTGTGTAACACATTTGGTAAAAGGAAAAGTCTAAAAAACCCAATGGACTTTAGTGTTTGGAATAATTAAGTCATTGGACAATTTTTTGAAACAAATAAGTCCTTGAACATTTCAAAGTATGTTAAATAACTCATTGGACTTTCTAAAACCTGTTAGATACATTCTTATGACTTATACAACTGGTTAATATAGTTAAATAATGAAAAAAGTCCGAAAAAAGCTAATGGACTTTCATATTTTGAACGATTAAGTTTAAACATTTTTTGAAATAAAAGAGTACTTAGATCTATAAAAATAAACAAATATACCAAAAAATTACTTATATTTACAAAAAAAATACTTACATTTAAAAAGAGTATTGATAAATTTTATTTTATTTTAGTTAAAAATAAAATATATTCTCTCAGTNAGACTAGAATGGACCACAGGACGAGCTGGGTCAATGCCGAGTGGATCGGGTTCAGTATTGTTAGTATATATCCAAGTGCCTCCGACTAGGGATTCTCTCTCGAAGACGACGACGGAGTGGCCTTCTCGCCGGAGATGGAGGGCAGCTGCTAACCCAGCTGCTCCGGCACCGATGACGGCAAAGTCACGGGCTGCGACGGTAGTCATTTGGACGGATGGACAATAGTTGATCTCTCCGAATATGTCAATCACAGAAATTGATGAGCTATCGCTATCGCTATCGTCGTGACGACAATAAGTCGATATTAGGTAGCATCTTTTAACAGATTCTTCATAACAGATTTTCTTAAATGCGAATGTAATCATCCATAAATTTATCATCAAAACTCATTTTTGAAACAGACAAAGTTGGAGAGCGGATGAATTTTTTTTTTAATTATGAAACTAAATATATGAAAAAGATAAAAATATTTTTATAAAAAATATTAAATATTTTAATAATAATTTATATTATCATTGTTAAAATAGAAAGGGAAAAATCTAAAACACTCAACGGACTTGGGTGTTTGAAATAATTAAATTATTAGATAATTTTTTTGGAACAAATAAACTCTTGTATATTCCAAAACTTATTAAATAATTTTATGTATTTTTTAAAATTTGTTAGATACATTCTTCTTTTTATATAGAAGAGGGAGGCTCCTCCTATCAAGAGGAATTAGATACATACTTTAACCTATAAAACTCGTTAATGTGATAAAATAATAGAAAAAATCTGGGAAAAACCAATGGATTTTTATATTTTGAACGATTACGTCCTTAAACTTTTTTCAACCAAAAAAAATACTTGCATTTAAAAAAATTGTTGATGAAATTTATTTTAATTAAAAATAAAAAATATTTTATCACTTATTTCCAAATAAAGAAAAATTAAAAAGATTGATGGTTAAATTTATTTTAATTGAAAATAAAATATATCCCATATATAAATTTTTTAAATTAAAAATGAAGGTTTAAAAATAATCACTGATAAAACTTATTTTAATTAAAAATAAAATATATCCTGTTGGTGATTTTTTAAATTATAAAAACAAAAAATAATTTGATTGAGTTATTGACGAATTAACAATAAAACGTAATACATAGTTAATTTAATTTTATCGTTAATCCATCAGTAATTTAATCAAATTATTTTTTATTTTTGTAATTTGAAAAATCAACAACGAAATATATTTCATTTTTAATTAAAATAAGTTTTATCAGTGATCCTTTTTTTTTTAAATTATCTTTTTTAATTTGAGAAATCATATATAGAATATATTTTATTTTTAATTAAAAAATATAATTAGTAATACTTCTTGATTTTTTTTAATTTGAAAAATCACTGACAAAATATTTTTATTTTTAATCAAAATATATTTCATCAATAATTTATTTTTAAATGTAGCTAATTTTTTGGTATATTTATTTCATTTCATACATGTAAGTATTTTTTTTGGTTCAAAAATTTTTAGAGACTTGGTCGCTGAAAATATGAAAGTTCATTGGGTTTTTTTTTCTTCATGTTTTTCTCTTATTTTATCACATTAATCAATTTTATAGGTTATAAGAATGTATCTAACAGGTTTTAAAAAGTCCAAGGTTTTATTTAACACGTTTTTGAATGTCTAAGAACTTATTTGTTCCAAAAAATTGTTCAAAAACTTAATCATTCAAAATACTAAAATTCATTGGGTTTTTTTATACTTTTCCCTTTGATAAAATATAAGGTGACTTTGTCCAAATACAAGACAGATCCCAGGCCTTGTTAGTAGCCTTAATAGTTAAGTAAGCTGAAAAATGCTCCATTCTTGAAAACAGGTTTTGTATGGTATCAATTAAAATTATCGATAATCAACTTTTTTTCAAAAATATTTTATGAAATTGGTTGAGAAGGTGATATGAAAATAAATGAATTCAAATATAAAAATTTAAAATAAAATCAAAAAGTGCAGAAGTGTGGCTGCTGGGATTCGAGCCCAGGTCTCCACGGCCACAACGTGGAATTCTTACCACTAAACTACAGCCACTTGATGTTTCAAATGTTCAAGTTTTGATTATATGAACATGGCTTCCATGTTTACAAACCCAAAGGGGAGACGATCGTCGTCGTCTAATATTGCTCTGATAAACATTCAACGAAAGGGTTTTTCTGGGCAGCCGTGAAAATGGCGAGAAACTGCAGTTTCTTCACAATAATCAGCACCTCTAATATCATCTTAGCATTATTATTGTTATTATTATCGATGATTTCAGATTCTGCAGCTTATAGGCCTGGAGATATCGTTCCGATGAGCAAAATGGGTCAATATCACTCAGTATGTATTCTTCTTTTCTCGATTTTCTCCTTAATTTCATATTCTAGAACATAAAACTCAATGAAAATCACAGATCGTATTTGTTTTTGGTGTTGTCGCTCCTGATTATGCAGTCACGAACGGTTTGGCATGATATGATTGGTCGCCACTGCCCGATCTTTGGTGTAAATCGTGAGGTAATTTTCTTTAGTTTCTAACTTGTAGAACTTAGGATTGTCAGATTCGAATTTTTGAATTGATTTCACTTCAGTTGTTAAACTATTACACGATCCAAATTACTTTCAAAATTTCTGGATATTAGTGGTTCTGTATTCAAATTCACGTTGTTTATTTGGTATGATTTTACAGGTATTGGTTCCTATATCTAAACCAACTGGTTTCACCGGAGCTGATCCTTACAAAATGTGAGACTCCTTGCTATCAATTTACAAATATCGTATTCTTTCATTTATTGGTGTCAGATGCTTTGATTGAGAGATGATTAGAGTATAAGTAGGGTGTTCAAGAGAACTGTTTGCTCATACAGTTATCTTTTTTGGGTGCAATCTCGAAAAGATTATATAGAAACTCTGATGCTATTATCAATAAGAGTGGGAATGCTTTGAGTTGTTGGAAACTTGGCTTGAAAAGTGTGCTTGCATTACTGAAGGTGAACTGAAATATATAGTATTTCATGGGCCGCATGTACATAGACAGCATATATGACTGAAGGACTAAACACTATAACGGAGTAATACTACCAATACTCCTCAAATTAGGACAGACAATATTTAAAGATGCTCAATGTACCACATAGAACCAATATTAAGCTTCAAAATTCCTTTTGTTAGAATATGTATGAATGTTGGCAAGGTGAACAAACAGATACCAACTCTTTAGATGGAGGCGTCTTTCAAAGTGTCATCCCACCTTTACACATTAATGAAATACGCTATTCTGGTGGCTAGTCACTATGAGATAATTCAGCTTTCCTTTCCCACTTGATCTCATACTTTTATCAATTATCAAGAAGCTATTTATTGTTTGGATAAAGCTTCATATGCCAGGGGATGGGTGTATTTGCCATGCCATTATCCAGTAAGCCAACCCAGAACAAGACATCAAGAATATAGTTTGACATAGCACTATACGTCTCACCTGTCTTTTCGTGAAAACTTTAATGGCTTTCTTGTATCTAGATATACGAATAGGTGAAAACTTAAACATAAATATTTGATCATTGACTTTGTATGCTACCTGAGGCAACGTTTTATGCTATTTATTTCTTTTCATTTCTTGGTGCATATATTTTCATTGCATGTGACCTTGTGCATTGAACATAAGATGCAAGGGTCGTCATCTCTAATATATTGGCATTTTGGCATATATCGGTGGTTTATGATTATGTTTATTGCCTTGAGCAGCTCAAGAAAAAAGCCTAAGACCTTGAGGCTTATGAGCCTCACAGCTCAAGAAAAAGCCTAAGACCTTGAGCCTCAAAGCCTAGGCGCCCCTCAGGCGTGCTTTTAACAATGACATTTGAGTTGTCTACTTCATCAGTATATAGGTGAAACTGATCATAGGTTCATCAAAGTTTTAGTAAAAAGCTGGCCTTCAATTTTGATTGTAAAGAAACTTGAAGATATATGTTGTCATTCATGTAGTCAAGTTAAAGCTTTCTTCACATGCCAAATATTGAACATGTTGCTCTACTAGCATCAACACAATGTCATCCAATCAGTAGAATATGCATATAAGTGTGTAGACAATGATCCAGAACGTCTCTACTTCTTTGCCTTAAAATCTCATTTATCTTGGCATAACTAAACTATGTTTAGCAGCAACCTGAAAAGGAGAAAAAAAGGAGGTTCAAAGTTTAATGGTGATAGCTGAGGAGTTGGGTCTATATGGTTTGGGTATATTTTGTAGCTGTTGTGTGTTATTGAGGCTGGGTGTATTGTAGTTTTAGGTTGAGTCTGTATGTCATTTTGCTTCCTCTTTTTGTCCACGTGGAATTTTCTGGCTTCTAATCTGTTGTTTCTCACCTTTAGGGTTCTCTATATAAAACCTATGTTCCTTATATTTGGGTACCATTAATTTTTGTGTTTCCCATTACACTATTAATGTAGTTGTGAACATGTTCGCCCTTTTATGTCTTCATTTGTTGGTTTTCAATCCTCTTCTTCCATACAAATGAATACACACAAGATGATGGGACTATTTATCTTCATTTTGGTTGAAACATTCAGCAGTTCTAGCATGAAATTCTGCAATAAACATGTATCCAATCTAATGTCGGGAATGCATGAAGTACAGATCATTTCAAGTTGGAAAAGAGAAGTATTACATTCCATGGCTACTTGTGATAAATCGTAAGAGTTCCGAGGTCCCAATGATTGATGTGCATCTGGTAAGGTTCATCTGGATGGAAAAATGTTCTTTGCATTTCAACTATGTCAAACATGTGTATATGATACTTTGATTATGTGTTTTAATGTTTCTTCTTATGTGAACATGAAATTTTAATTTGCATTTCGTACAGAGGTACTCAGGAAGTGATTTTCTTGGTGTCACTGCTAAGGTTGTAGACATGCCACATCATTGTAAGTTGCATTTTCTTTTGCTTGAGATTATTATCAAATAGCTTTTATTCAGAGGCCATAACCATTCTTACTTGGTCTAGAAATTTATTTAGTAGCAACGACCTTCAGTAACTTTGTATTACAAAATTCACTGTTTTTCCAACAAACCCACAAACTTGTATATGAACATGTGTTAAGTGTTACCTGACTTATTAGTGTTGGAATATGGAAGTGCATGAATTGTTTATTCCCGATTAGATACTGCCTTTCTGTAGCTGGGTTTCTTCTTTTCCCATGAAAATAGTACTTCTGTTGTTGATACCTGTTTCTCTCCATTTCCCCTGCCCCAAGCATGGCAGGTGTTTGGTTTTTTTTATTTATTTATTTAGGGCCCATAACTATAGAATACCCACATATTATATACCAATTTTGGATGCTTTCTTCTGTTTTTGCTTGTTTATTGTTATTTTCTAATTCCTTTTAAGATTATTGACCTTTTGTCATCTTTTAGGTAAATATTATCGACAAAATATCTGTGGCTAAGTATTGGTTTTGGCATGTAACTCTTCGTGCTTTTCTCTGTATTTTCTGTCAGGATTTTTGTGAGATGTTACAAGGTTTATAAGCTGCTACCAGGGTTTTAGTTTTTTGTTCTTTTTTTCTCTTTACATTAATCATGTGGTTACTTCAAAGGAGGCAACGGGCACTTAGTTGCTTATGCTGAATGCTGAAATGATAATCTCTAGTTCTGTACTTGATAGAAGTTTGAACTTTTAATGCTTTTGTACCCCTTCAAAAAGAGGATTGATGCACTTATGCTTGAGTAAGGTTTGGAGGTCATGATGGTGCTCGTTTACCAAAGGGGTTAACCCTGTTTTGCTAAGGCTCCTCAGCTTTATGAGGGTCATAGGTCTATCTGGTACTAGACCATGCCAGTATCTTGTTGGTTATGTTAGTTGGGATTCTTTTGTTTGTTGTTTGTCTTGACTCACAACTATTGGACTAAATTTCCCTTTGTCAAATACTATCATTAATAAACTGGACCATTTGTGATAAAGATGGAACTACATTTCATTAGAAACGTCGAGCAATATACAAAAGTATATCGTCATTGTCCAGCTAGGAACCAGACACAATAAAATAGAGCCATTGCCTTTATTTCAAATCCAAAATACTAGGGTTGATTACTCAAGGGTAGAGTTCTTAGATGCTGGAGCTTCGGAGAAGATTAATAAGATACCATCAGAAGCCTTCATACTTGTTGATTGGATTGTCATGATCAGTGAGATTAGATGGAAAAGCATGTTTGTAGTTTTGATATATACTAGAAGGTGATTGATTGAAGAACAAAGATGAATAACAAAAGAAGAAAGTGATGATTGGGAGCAGATTCTTCTCTGATTATCATTTATCCTTAATTAATGGGTTTGAGGTCTAAAAAAGCCAATGTGTTTAGATTTGGCTAAACTGACATGCCAGTCCAAGTGTTAAACATTTCTTGGCGTGTAACTTGAGAAGTCGGGCCACTCAACCGGTACAAGGGTCTAATTTGAAAAAGAAAAAAGAACTTAGCTAAACTTTCAGTGTGTCTTAAATGGGCACCTAATAGCTTCTTATTCTTTAGGTGGTTAACCCTTGCTTAAAAGTAATGTAGGAAGTGTGGAAAGACACAGCACAACTTTAGGAAGGATATGGGAGGTTAACCCATTTGCTTGTTTTGTGGTTGGCTTACTGCATTATTAGAAAATTGTGGTTCTTCCCATGAAGAGTCCAAATGGCACAAAACACTAAACATAGAAACACAGATCTTCATAGAGAACAGGGCGGGCCTGTCATTGGGTTCGATTTAGATGGATTCTGTGCTTGAATCTATGCCATTTGTTAGGATCAGGATGTGTTCTTAAGGCACGTATATGCTGAATCAGTAAATATGTCAACCTTTTACATCTAATATGAACTTTAAAATTTTGAAAGAGGTAGATAACTAAAGATCATGTTCCAGTCATCTTTGGATGGTTTAGTAACGTAGACCATCCTTACACTTTTGATGTGAATGTTTCTTACATGGGGCGACTCTCAAAAATATGACACGCCACCTTAACTTGGTAAAAGTCAAAAAACAAATCTGCATAGATACTTGTTATGTGAAATATTTGTACAATGTCTAATATTCTTCACACCTGCTGCTAGTTATTTGATGAGTTCATCATGTACTCTGTTGGGTGGAATTTTTTACATGTATTCGTTTTACGCAGATGTGGAGCTTCATCCTGACATTGGCAAGCAGTTTTGGGATGCACAAATATGGCCAAAACATGTTCTTGTCAGATACACATGGTTAGTTGTATTGTTGGTTTTCATTTATAATTTCAGTTTCTGGTCAGTCAAAGTTGAAGAAATAGCATCCATCTGTTATGCAAAACTTTCATATGCTACATACATATTCATCTTTCATCCGCTTTGTTAACTAATGAATGACTGTTTTTTAGGGAGGAACAATCAGAAATAGATGTTACTTCTGGATTCTATGTTCTTTTTGGATCAGGTAAATGTACTTTGACTTGTATTATTTGAGAACCGCCCCCTTGCTATATTTGGAGTTATGTATAATATATACAGAATATATGTGTAATATGTATATATGGAGAATCATGTGAGAAGTCGGTCAACTTGTGAGAAGTGCGAACAGGCCCAGTTCACATGTGATTTTAGAGTAAAATCACATGTGACACAACACATTCAAAAGGACCTGGGTGACTTGGTCAACGCGACCAAGGTCGCGTGAAAACTCACGCATGACATGGCTAGTCAATGTGATGTGTTTAGATAACATGTGATTTTAGTCTAGAATCACATTTGGGACTTCTCTCACTTCTCTCATATTGACCATCTTCTCGTTTGAACCCGCTTATATATATATATATTGAATTGAATGATGGAAGAAGTTGGAAGCATTTTCAACAAATCTAATTGGTTTGTTGTACCATCTTAGTTTGCATTTTGGAGAGTAAGTGACATGGTATACTAAACCAATCGAATTTACTAAGAATGACAGCTTGACGTTCTTTCTCATATAGAGACCTTCGGGTGGGATATGCCGATTTTGTTTGGGTTTTAAGCATTAGATGATCTTAGTTTTCTTCATTGCTCATGAACAGGGCTTCTTATGTCCTTCGTTCTCTCTATTTACGTTTTGCAATCTTCTCGCGATAAAATAGAAAGGTAACACTTCCATTCCCTTCATCTCTTCATTCAATAGATGAAGCAATTGTTAAATTCTCATACCCATGTTAATTACACACCCTCATTTTAGTTGTCATCCAAATTACAACAAATCAAAGTGAACATTGTGGGAGTTCAATTAATCTATTAACTTCGTTTATGAACCATAGTATAGACAACCAACTATTTTGTCCGTCACAAAATAAATGTCCACAATAAAAAAAAACGCAGTTTTGGAGACCTGCAGGTATTACATTTTGTAATTAACTAAATCACAATTTTACCCTTAACAACACAAGGAGTAATGTATTTCTTCGTCTCATAATTAAGGGTAAAATTGGAAAGTAGACACTTACTTTTGATAATGGACATTTATTTTGGGAAAACTAAAAGAGAAACGAGGACACTTATTCTGATACTGGGACGGAGGGAGCATTGGAACTTAAATATCTTACCAACTGGGATGCAACTTGTATCAATCCAAGTATGTGATTGATAAATTATGGAGACCTTTGATTTGGAGTTGGAAATTGATATGTGCATAAGTTTGATAGTAGGGTGGTTTTTTACAGATTTGTTAGAGAGACGGTAGCCGAAAGCAGCATTCCTGGCGGAGTGGCAAAAGTCGAATGAGTCCTTTTCTTGATTGTAAGATGTAAGTGACATCGATCTTGTGGTTCGCTTGTGTTGTCGATGAGAACCGAAATCTGGAGATCGTTTGTACGTAGGAGGTTTTTTTTTTGCCTTGTCTTTATTATTAGTACAATCGAAATTAATACAATTTTCTTCCCTAAGGAATAGATCCTTTAACTCGTAAACTTGTGAATTTTTATTTAATATTGTGGGGTAGAGATGGTAAAAAATAGATCTCGACTGGTCCAGTTCCAAGCATGAAAAGTGAGTATGAATGTAACAGGTGTAATTGTTCTCGGTCCTTGTCCCAAATCTGGTCTGCTCTGGGGCCTAACCAAGTTTTTTAAAACATTCGATTTAAAAATATATATATGCAGGTTTTTATAATTATAATATTTAAAATTGAGTGTTGAAATACATTTTGAATATTAGATTTAAGGGTTGTTTATCAAGCGTTTATATGGATAAGTGTTTATCAAGTCATATTACCTTACCGGATGAATATGATAAAGACCAAAAATTTTACCTGGTAAGAGCAAAGACAAGGAGAAGAGTCTTATTCAGTAAGTGAAGGTGACGACTCTTACCATGCTTAGTACTTACCCAGTAAGTGTTTGGTAAACGTACCAGTAAGTAAGTGATAGTGTTGAATTTTGCTGGTAACCATTTACCGATGTAAGCGTTTGGTAAAACCACCCCTTGCTATGAAAAAATTGAAACTAGAACTTTAAGGTAGCGTTTGGTATGCAGACATGATTGGACAAGACATAATTGGATAGGCTAGACATGACATGACATGACTGAACAAGACCGGACGGAATGGGACTGGACTGGACATAACAAGTATCTATCTGCTGTTTGATACGACTAAGACTGGATAAGACAGAACTAGACAAGTTACCCCCAAAAGTTATTTTATGATTTTATATATCATATAATAGTTAGTTATAATTAACACAAATAAAATAAGTAATTTAATTTATAAACATTTTTACACAAGTTCCATTTACATAAATATAATAGTACCAAATTTGAAAGAATTTTTTTTTATAATTGATGGTAGTTTGAAAAAACTCGATTCATATAAATGAAAAATTATGTTTTTGTTCGGTTTGGATGATCTTTATCAATTGGTGAAGACACGTGAAAATTATTGCAACAATAATGATTGTGGAGGTAGAAACATTGGTAATTGGTGGACGATGGTGGTTGTGGAGGACGTGAAGATGGTGGATAGTGGTGGTGCTGGCGGTCAATAGTGGTGGATGAGGTAGTTTGTGGCCTATGTGGTGGAGGTAGGTGTGATGGTGCTTATGGTGGTGCTTATGGTAGAGGCAGTGGCGACCGACGATACTAGTGGTAGTGGAGATGGAAAATGGTGGTTGTGGAGGACGTGAATATGGTAGATAGTGGTGGTTGACGGTGGTAGTGGTAGCCAGTGGTGGTGGTGGGCAGTGGTAGTGGTAGCCGATGGTGGTGATTATGGTGGAGGTGAGGTAGTCCATGATGGTGGCGATGAATGTGTTGGTCGGTGGCCCGATGATGGTTGTGGAGGAGGTTGTAGTAGAAGCGAAGGTGGTGGTGGCCAACAATGGTAATGGTGGTGGTCCGCGGCCGACGATGATTGTGGAGGTGGTGGAGGAGGTTGTTGTAGTAGAAGAGAAGGTGGAGATGGCCAATGGTGGTTGTTACGATGGACGGTGGTGGTCGGTAGCCGCTGGTGGTTGTGGAGGTGGTGATAGACGGTGGTTAATGATGGTTGTGAAAGTGGTGGAGGAGGAAGAGGTGGCTACCGGTGGTGACGGCCGCAACTAGCAGCGGTGATCACTAAAACAAACACCATGTCAAGGTTATATATCAAACGATGGTTGATTAGTAATATTTTAATTTCCGTCTCATTCTTGTCTCATCTTGTTCCACCTATTTTGGTGGAACAAGAAAAAGTTTTTTTTGTCCCATGTTGTCCCACCTTATCCCAGTTCCAATCCTGTTCCATGTCGTACCAAATGTGGGACAGTGAGTTCTTGTCCTGTCCTATGTCCCGCCAAATGTGAGACAGTGAGTTATGTCCCGTCATATCCTTTCCTGTCCCATGTAGAAAACACAACCTAATCCTAATGGAAGGAATTAGGCCTGGCTGGGCCTCAGTTTATTTTGTAATGTGTAACTGGGCTTTAATCTGTTGGCCTAAACCGGTCCCTTACCCATCCTATAAGATTGAGTTAGAAAAATTGTTTAAGGTGATCCTCTTTAATTGGATAAGAAAAAGCATATATACATATACATATACACACACATACATATATATATATATATATATAATGATAGGATCGTTCAATTGAAAAATAAATGTATGTAACTACGTTACGTTACGAAAGTGGAGTACTAAACTTTACTGATTCAATAATGACTTCAATGAGTTTTTATTTCATGAGACAAATTATATCATCCTTAGCAACATCGTTAAATCATCTTTTTCAAAATAAACAACCAAGTTATCATTCATCCATTGATTTCTCATTCTACACAACCTATTCTTCATAGCATAAAATGATCTCAATTTTTGATGTTGCAATCGGTAATGTCAATGCTATTTTGATAAGCATGTAAACCAATGAGAACCACTTTACCCCTTCTTGTTTCAATTATTTTTTGTACAAGATCAACTGTTGAAATCAAATACCTCTGATATTTATTTATTGTAAAGAAAATAACAAATACAAATTACAAAATATGAAGAAGATCTACCTATTTCGAATAGATGAAGAACGGAAATCAAACAAAGATGAACAGTCGTAACTAAATCTAGAGAGAAAAGATATTGAAGCAGTAAGTTATTTAGAGAAAAAATGATAAGAATGAACTCCAAATCAGCTCTTAGGGCTCTTTATATATATATATATATATATATATATATATATATATATATATATATATATCTTTATAAGCCAGCTTTGCCCCTTCATGTTTGAAATAAATGCTCCGCTAACCCTGAGGTTTTCCCAAAAGTGAGGCGCGACCCTTCTCTTTATCAACCAGCAACACTTTATCAATATGACAATATCTACCCTGTTCTGTTAACACAATAACAAATAAAGGACAAATAAGTCAAGTTACTCAAGATTGCAATATGAATATCTTTTAACACCCGCTCTCAATTTTGACTTTTAAACAGATCAATCATTCTTAACTTCGAGCACAAATAGTTATGATGATTTATATTAAGAGCCTTTGTTAAGATGCCAGGTAATTGTTCAAAAGAAGGAATTTTAAATATTTTTAAAACACCTTTACTTATTTTTTCACAAATATAATGAACGCCTATTTCAATGTGCATAGTGCGTTTGTGAAAAACATGATTATTTGCTATTTGAATAGCAGATTTATTGTCACAATATAAACTAACAGGTAGAAGATCTTTTATTTTTAGATTCGATAAAATTTTAAGCACCCAAACAATTTCACAAGAAAACAGATGCCATGGCTCTGTATTCAGATTTAGCGGATGAGCGGGAAACAATACTCTGTTTCTTGCTCTTCCACGAAACTAAAGAATTCCCAAGAAACAAATAATAACCAGTAACAGAACGCCTAGTTGATAAACACTTACCTCAATCAGCGTCTACAAAAGCAGAAAGTTTAAACATATCTGACCTTGTAAAGCTTACTCCTTTTCCAGGGGATAGTTTAAGATACCTGAGAATTCTAAGAGCTAAATTTAGATGAGATTGTCTTGGAGCATTCATAAACTGGCTCAAACAATGAACCGCAAAAGCTATATCGGGTCTTGTTGCAAGAAGATATATTAATCTACCTATTAATCTTTGATATCCTATACAATTAGACAATAGAGAGTCCTTGGAGTCATTTGAAACATGTATAACTAAATTTGTATCCATAGGGGTATCTGAAGGCTTACACCCTAAATGGCCAAAATCATTCAATAACTCTAAACAATACTTTCTTTGGGTCATGCAAACACCATTAATGCAATCAAGAATTTCAATTCCCAAAAAGAATTTCAATTTTCCCAAATCTTTAATCAAGAATTTACTTTTTAAATACTCTTTAAAGCTATTAATCTCAGCCAAACTATTTCCTGTGATGACAATGTCATCGACATATACAAGCAGAACAAGAAAAACAGAATCAATACGTTTAGTAAACAGAGAGTAATCACTAATACTTTTAATGAACCCATTTTCAATTAAACAAGCAGAAAGTTTGGCATATCACTGACGAGGTGCTTGTTTTAAGCCATATAGAGACTTTACTAGTTTGCACACACGAGTATCATTTGAACTATAATACCCTTTTGGAAGGGTCATGTAAACATCCTCAACTAAATCACCATATAAAAAAGCATTATTCACATCCAATTGATATAAAGGCCAGTTAAATTGTACAGCTAAGGTAATAATACATCTGACAGTAACCATTTTTACTATGGGAGAGAAGGTCTCTTCATAGTCATGACCCTTTCTCTGACTATATCCCTTAGCTACTAACCTAGCCTTATATCTCTCTATTTCTCCAGTAAATTTATATTTGATTTTATAAACCCATTTACAACCTATAGCTTTTCTATTTTTAGGCAATTCAGTGACATATCAAGTTCCATTCCTATGTAAAGCCTCCATCTCATCATTCATAGCCTTAATCCAATTTTGATTAGCATAGGCCTCTTTAAAAGACTTGGGTTCAACAGATTTATTCAAATTTGAAACAAAACAATAATTTTATGAAGATAGACAAGAATAGTTTACAACTCTTTCAATACCATACTTAACCTTACCTTCTACCACAAAATTCATCAAATTTTCTAGGATGAGTGCTAAGTCTAGAAGACTTTCTAATAGACTGAGTTTGGGAAGTAACACCCTCAGAGATCTGACCTAAGGAAATATCATCATTATTTTCATTAATACCTTCAATAGAAAGAACATCATCACGAGAATGTCTGGCAACCATTTCCGAACTGCCCAAAGGCGTCCAACTGGTAACATGCTCAAGATTGTCTTCTTGAGGAAAATCTTGATTATCTTGAGTCTCAAAGCTGCCTAGAGGCTGCCTATTGTCAGTTCCAGAGAGGCTACCAAGAACACTACGGTTACTAGTTCTATGTTCAAACTGATCATTATTTCCATTTTCAATAGGTCCTCTAAACTC